ACTAAAACTAATGGTGTTTAGAGAATATATCTCTATATAGAGAATATATGGTGGGTGGTTGGCAGGTGCTCTGGTGTGGTTTGCTGCTTCTTCTTTCCTATAAAAAATCTATCGTCCTTATCTCCCCTTCTTCTTTTTTATGTTTGTTACTCTCTTGTAACACCTCTAATCTTCTGGCGCTCATATGACCTTATGCAGTTGCGAGCACCGTAAAACCTCTACTAATACTAATAGAGAATATATCGCAGGTGGGAACAGTACTAAGGCTAGTTATCATGTGTGCCTTGTGCCCCATTTATGATGAAAATCTTTCTAACCAGTTCTGCTGCTGAAGTTTGTGAATGAGGAATTTTTCTGAAAGAAATGGGCACCTGTCCTTTGTGAAGAGAGGAGTAAAAACTGAGATTTGTATCGATTTGACTTCTCTTGGGGCTGTGGGCTTTCCTTTGCCTCTCTTGGCTCTTATGTTGTGATTGAACTCATTTCTTTCCTTCTCCCTGGGTTTTTTGTGGGGGGGGGGGGGGGGTTATTACTCTTCGGTATCTCTTTTTATCTTCAAACTGACGTCTCTATTGTAGTGGTTAGGCGCTTTGCTGTTACTTGCTAGAGATACAAAGTGGGTGGTTTGTGGGTGCTCTGGTGTGGTTTGCTTCTTCTTTCCTGTCAGACATCTATCGTCCTTATCTCTCCACCTTCTTTTTTGTGTTTGTTACTATCTTGTAACTCCTCTAATCCTCTGGCGCTCATATGACCTTATGCAGTTTTGAGCGCCGTAAAATCTCTACTCCAACGAACTGACCTTATTGTGTTGCAAGTGCGGTAATACTGTACTAAAACTAAAAAACGATGGCTATACTGATCCTGTGCTGTACTGTTGTTGTGGTCTGCAGAAAAAGCACCTGAAGAACCCGTACGAGATCAACCTGATGGAGGAGCTGACCTTGAAGGGGGTCACCCAGTACTACGCCTTCGTGCAGGAGAAGCAGAAGGTGCACTGTCTCAACACACTCTTCTCCAAGGTGAGTCGCGAGTCGTGCTGCACGCTGTATTGTGAAGGTATATATCGATTCATTATTCCCAGGTTTGCCTTCTATCAATTGTGGGATGACAAATTAATTGAATTTTATTAGCAATGGAAGGGGAACCTGATTTTAAACATTGCCAGCAATGGAAAGATATGTAAAGTGAAAAAATCAAACAAGACAAAATGTTGGTGAGCGAAGAAATATTGTGGGCTGTAGGCAATCTGTTCAAACAGACTCCCAAATTCCATTTATTTTCAACCCTCTAAAAGCACATTTCAATTTCACTACCTGAACCCCCACTGGGGAGCTGTTCCTGGACCCTGAACCCCCACCGGGGAGCTGTTCCTGGGCCCTGAACCCGACCGGGGAGCTGTTCCTGGACCCTGAACCCCCACCGGGGAGCTGCTCCTGGACCCTGCTACCCCCAGCAGAATTTTCCTTACTTTTCAGCTAGAGCTGGTGGAAGCTAGAGAGCTGAGCAGGGGATGTCAAATTCCCTGTAAGGACTTCTTTGTTGACATCCACCCCTTGGCGCTCATATGACCCTATGCAGTTGCCAACGCCGTAAAACCTCTACTAAAACTAAAAAACTAAAAGCGCCGTAAAACCTCTACTAAAACTAAACTAGAGTAACCAAAGGTAACTTGTCCCCAGCTACAAATCAACCAGTCGATCATCTTCTGCAATTTGTATGACCTGTTTATGTTTCAAGTGCCACAAAACTCGTACTGTATATAAAGGTAACTTGTCCCCAGCTACAAATCAACCAGTCGATCATCTTCTGCAATTTGTATGACCTGTTTATGTTTCAAGTGCCACAAAACTCGTACTGTATATAAAGGTAACTTGTCCCCAGCTACAAATCAACCAGTCGATCATCTTCT